AGAAAGACATTTTAAAGGGGCCTGCTTCACATTTCCATCTCGATGTAACTATCTTCTTTGTGTGAATGTCCAAACATTACCTCTGAGTGTTGCTGAAAAGAAAACAAATCGAAGCCACCATATCATTTTCCTTTGATTTCTTTGACTGCAAAATAGGCTAGGAAGTTATGAGGCGCAGAAGATTGTGTCGCTGGGACTGACAAGGGGCTGATTTAAACAGGAAACTCTCCCTGCATTTACATACAAGCCAGCATAAAAGAGCAACACCACAGCCCACTGGCAATGATAGTCCCCGTGTGCATACTCCATACGCATGACCCGAAAGAGTCAGTCCTTACCATACCATAACAGAATGGGAGCAATGTATTCATAGAATAGGAAGGAAGATTCAAATTATAAATTACCTAACCAAAAAACACAACACCAAACACTGAATAAATGCTTTAAGAACATGGCATAGATGTTCCCTGATGTTGCCCCCTATACTGTTATTGAGGTGAATGAATGAATTTTATTGTTAAAGTGCATAGTCAGCAATACTGTTATCGAGGTGTTTACTGTCTCTGGCTACAAAGGCTCCCTTTAGTCACCATGGCTAGTAACCACTGATGAACTTCTCCTGCAAGAATTCATGTAATCCTCCATTAAACCCAGCTCTGCAATGTGTGTGTGTGTGTGAGAGAGAGAGAGAGACAGACAGACAGACAGACAGACAGACAGAGACACAGAGAGAGACAGAGAGAGACAGAGAGAGAGTACTGTATACATTATTCCAAATGAGACTGCCCTATAGAGCTCTATAGGAGAATTATAATGCCGGCAGTTGTATTTTTAGTCCCCTGACTGAAGAGTTATGGAATTTAGCAACATCCCTTAATGAAAGTTTTAAACAATAACAAAACAGGCAGAAACCTGCAAGATAAGAGTGTCTAAATCAAGGTGAGGCATTTGTAATGCTCCAGGAATTACAAATGGTCTCCAGGCTACAGAGATCAGCGCCCCTGGAGAAAATGGCTGCTTTGGAAGGTGGACTCTGTGGCATTACACTCCATTCTCCCCAGGTTTCACCCCCAAATACCCACAGATTTCTCAATCTGGAACTGGCACTCCTGCTACATGGGAATAGCAGTAGTGTAATTATTCTACCATGTAGAATGTGAGTACATAACTCAGACATTCATTCCAACTCTGTCCAATGCCTCACTTGGCCAACTGAATGGGGGGAAACCAACAGCTGGTCAGCTCTTGTCACTTCAACCCTAAAGCACAATGAATTTTGAAACATGGGGATGGTAAAATTTTCATGGCTTCTGTGCTGTTAATAAAGGCACAGGAGCAACCAAACTCTTAGGTAACCTTACCCCCAGGGCCATCTTTCTTATTTCATTCATAGAACCAGGTGTCAGACTCACAGCAAACAATGAAATACACTCTTGCAGGAAGGTTTTATTTTATTGAAGCCATGAAGTACTTAGAACAGATTCTCTTCTCAGAATAACACGATCAGCGCCCCTGGAGAAAATGGCTGCTTTGGAAGGTGGACTCTGTGGCATTACACTCCATTCTCCCCAGGTTTCACCCCCAAATACCCACAGATTTCTCAATCTGGAACTGGCACTCCTGCTACATGGGAATAGCAGTAGTGTAATTATTCTACCATGTAGAATGTGAGTACATAACTCAGACATTCATTCCAACTCTGTCCAATGCCTCACTTGGCCAACTGAATGGGGGGGAAACTAACAGATGGTCAGCTCTTGTCAGTTCAGCCCTACAGCACACTGAATTTTGAAACATGGGGATGGCAATTTTTTCATGGCTTCTGTGCTGTCAATAAAGGCACAGGAGCAACCAAACTCTAAGGTAACCTTACCCCCAGGACCATCTTTCTTATTTCATTCATGGAACCAGGAAGAGTGTTGTGTGTGTGAACAATGAAGGGTTGATGATAATCACTTGTGAGGCATCGTTTGGATCAATTGTGCATTTTTTTTTCATGTTTTTTTTTTTACGTGACTTCATTATTCTTTATCACGGAACACGATACTCCAAACACTGACTGAAAAAACACATACAGGTTCCTGTTTTTGATTCATTTTCAATGGACATTGCCTCACTGTGGTAAGGTTCCCGGACACAGAAATACACAGCCGAATCAGCAGCTGTCAGGGAGTTCAGCTGGAGGAAGACCTGGTTTTTTGAAGTGTCTGAAGAAATGGTCAACCGGCTCTGCAGAGACGGGGCAAACCCCTTGCTTCCGTCATAGGGGTATAACAATGCAAGCCATTCCAAATGTTTCCCAGGAAACCGCTGGACCCAGTGCCAAACACTGTACTGAGCAGAGACTGAGAGTCCCGACACTGTACAGAACAGGTGGAGATTCTCTCCAGGTCTCACCATTCCTGGTCCAGATGTAGTCAGCTGAATGTCTGAGAAGGTCCCTAGGAAAGAGAGAACAAGGAGTCAAATTCAGGACATCCTATACCAAGAGCTTCAGTCAAACCAATTTGTCGTCACTCTTCATAGAATATTTGCTTACATCTAGGAATGGTGACCAAGAAACATACAAAATATAGACTTAATCTCATCGTCTTGATACTGAAATATCCTAGCTCTGGAGGAATGATGGGTCTGTGGACTGGGGAGAAAGTGGGGTTTCTAAATGTGAATGGTTTCCTTTTGAATAGGAGATCTTCCTACCCCCCTCCCATTTTCAGAAGGGATTTGCATGAGTCCCTCCTCCTGGATCACATGATCTAGTAAGAGGCTGTTGGAAGGAGAATTCTTCTGTTCTCCTTATCATTTGAGTGATAAAGGATGGACAGATGAATGAAGAATGCTTTCTGAGGCCTGTTCTTTTATGAGCCACTCTGACTCTCAAGAACATTTTGAAACATCAAGACAAAGGTAATCTATTAGCTCACCTAGAGCCCCATAAGTCTATTTCTGCTGTCTTGAAGTAGCATTCACATAGAAGAAGAGAAGAAGAAGATATTGAATTTATATCCCGCCCTTCATTCGGAGTCTCAGAGCGGTTTACAAACTCCTTTCCCTTCCCCTCCCCACAACAGACACCCTGTGTGGAAGGTGGGACTGAAAGAGCTCTTTCCAGAATTGTCCTTGAGAGAGAACAGCTCTGACAGAACTATGTCTTGCCCAAGGTCATCCAGCAGCATCAAGTGGAGGAGTGGGGAATCAAATCTGGTTCTCCCAGATTAGAGTTCGCACACTTAACCACTACACTAAACCGGCTGTCTAACCATTTACATTGCTGTATTTCTCTATGCTTCATTTTTTTCTATATCTTGGCTCTATCATCAACCAAAAGGGGCACCGCACCCAAGAAAGCAGAAGGAAATTGAGACTGAGAAGGGCAGCAGTGAAGGAGCCAGAAAAGAGTTTTCAGTGTAAGGATTAGTTGCTGGTGACCAAGATCAAGATAACTCATCCTATATTATTCCCCATTATTATGTATGGATGTGAAAGTCAGACAGTGAAGAAAGCTGAGAGGAAAAAAAGATGATTCCTTTGAAATATGGTATTGGAGGAGAATTTTATATAAATTGGCAAAAAGACAAAAAAAGTGGTTTCCAGGTCAAATCAAGCCTGAGTTCTTCCTATAAGTTAAAATGACCAAACTGAATCTATGGTACTTTGGTCACATCATAAGAGGGAAGGTGGAGGAGACTCCCTGGTCCCTGTGCATTTGGTGTCATAAGGCGGCCATTCTACCACCTCCCGAACTCACGAACCCCACAAACCAGTTCGGCAAATGGAAAAGTTAATGAAAGTTTGTGGAATCCAACAAACCACCATGAACTGCCATTTTCCTAGTTTGTGCCCATCCCTAATGTTTTCACTTCCGTTAGCATCTGCTAGCCAAATTTGTTGTTCTTTGATGGGGGGAAAAAACCCACTGGGTATTATATGTTAGTTAATGTGAAATATATAAAATCAGGTTATTGTCGAAAAAATGGAGATAACACTTGTGACTTGCTACTGAGTTATTTCTAAAAAACGCTGGAGGAGGAGAAAGAAAACCATTGAGTACACAGATAGACATAACTATATTCCTCTCATTTCAAGTGCACCACGAGAATCTTGACAAACTTTCTGTGCGTGGTGTGGTGCTTATGAACATGAACACT